TATATAAAATCTCATCTGCAATTAAAGTCTACTACTTTTAGCCTTACTGGAATAAGGCTTTAAGTCTAAGTGGCAGTACACTATGACACTTCTGAAGCAACTAGTACACTTCAGCTAAATCTAGCAGATAGGAACAGGTCTCAGAAATAGCTCTGTCTATACAAATTTCCATGGGAAAAGGAGACAGGACAGAGGAGAGACATGCAAATGCTCTAACTCAAGGAAAGATTATCATGAACAGCTTACACCTTAGCAGCAACATGTCATTCTGTACTTGAAAAGTCACGCAGGAGCATGTTTGACACATCCCAGCCATAGGACAGTATCAATAAGAGCTTACATTCAACTGTGAGCTACAAAACCTTGGAAAATCAAAAATTTTATTTCCAAAACATACAAAACTTTTTTTTTTTTTTAAATGAATGAGGATAAAAATTATAGCACGCACGATAACCCGTAGGTCAAAGCAGAAATAGTATTTCAGCTTATATTTTGAAAGGATTTTCTACAATATTTGGTGCAATTACATGATGGAATTAGAAGAATGAGACAATGATACCCAATTTTCAACAGATAAGAGAAAGTGATACTAGTTCAGATATTGTTTTGTATGCCCCAACAGCTATATTCTAAGCTTACAGCACACAGTTGGTTAATTCTGCCCATGCATTCACCTTTTATAAAAGTAGGCAGGATTCCTATCTAGAAAGTTCAAAGAAAGATACAAACACTGCCAACTCCAAGACTTTGCACTAAAAAACTCCAGTTTTGGAGATGCTACTATTTCATATTACATAATCAAATTTCAGATGGCAACAACAAAACTGATTTAAAAAAAAAAGTCATTTCCCACATCTTCCTCCATCTCAAGTACATAGCTCCACTCGCCCCAAAGACTTTAGATAATGCAATATCATACTGCTAGACATCTCCCAGACAGTTACTTCAAGTATGAGTTTTGAAATCATAAGGAACAATATAGCTAGTTTAGAAACGCGGAGTACGCATTACTCTTTAATCAAGCTGAAAGACAATTGACTCACAAGATAAAACAGAGGCTCACCTCTATCTGCCACAGTTCAATATAAACTTCTACCATTACATATACTTATATATACTTAATTTAAAAAAATTTAAATGTGCAATCTAATACTTACCTGAACCTCTGAATTAGAATCAATAGGTTGAAGCAAAAACCAGTTCTCTTTGCCTGTGTAATTGCATGGGGGGGGGGGGGGAAAAGAAAAGGCGGGGGCATAAATACCACTTTCATGTGAATAGGTCAAATAGTTCAAAAGACCTGAGGCCTTATTTTTTTTTTTTTTTTAATTTTTTAAAGCTAGTGATGTTATATGAAAAGCTCATGGAAACAGGAAACTAGGAACATGGAACAGAAGTAAAAAAGCAAAAGAGATAATATAAAGCCCAATTAAGCTAATTATGATGTGTTATCTTGGATAGCACAAATAATAAGACTAGGTAAAATAAAGAGTGCACCTGTAGCTGTAAATAAGGTAACATAATAAAGCTTTAAGAGAGAAGTAACAGTGTCAAAGAATGTTTAAATAGGAAATTGAAGGTAAATGCCTTTTGCTCTTCCAATTTCTATTTGGAAAGCTGTTATTATACCAAATTATCTGGCATCCTGGTGCAAATTATTTCCTTCCTCAATTCAAATAACGTGAGGACTACTCCCATAGCAGACTATTAGCTGGAGCTTTTATAGAAACTATTATCCAAACACCAGCTGCAATAAGGCAATAATGCAGTGAAATAAATTCCATCTCTAATTTTTCAGGTAAGCTACATCAAGCTTTTTTCAGCAACTTATTAGTCACCAGATTTACAAGTTGCACTGGCAGAGACAAAAACAATACAAACGATTTTAAAGCATTAGTCTATAATTGCAAAACCAGCTCCTTCTTTACAGATCTACCAGTAGCGACAATTATTCAAATATTTTATTGGAACAGAAGGGGAGAAAAAACTCCATTGACAATGAAAAAAATACACTGAATAAGCCTATAAAGTGCTCTATTATCCTAACAAAATGAACATGTTTTAATAAATTAATATATTAAGACAAGACAAGAAGATTCTGCTTCCCAAACATTAAAGGAATATCTAGGTTTAAGTACACTATGCATTACCTTTTCGAAATAGGCATCAGTTCAATAATTGCATTCATTAAACTACACATAGTGATACTGAAAATAACCAAACGTTTTTGGAATCATGCAAGATGTAGGGAATATCCCAGAATTTACCTATACGCAGGTCTTTTTGTAAAACAGTCTTATCATAAATGTAGAAGGACAGCCATTGGAACGTTCTTGGAATCTCAAAGTAAAACTCTTCTCCAAAATAAGGGCTGAAAAGAAAAACCAAAAGTTAGAATAGTAAAATGCTTAGTATAATTTATACAGAACAAACACTAAAAAGCAGCATTTTTACTGCAGTCAAACTTTGGCCCTTACTCTTACTACACTACCTCTTAGTTATCAGAGGTACCCACACCCATTTCATTACAAAACACACTGTAACACTGTAAGTTAAAACTTTATTAGAATGTTCCAAATTCAAAAACAAACAAAACCCCAAACAATTAAATTATTCCACTTTAACTATATCCACGTTATTTTAAATCACATGGCTTCCTGAGCAGCTCACAAGTTTTACGTTTCTCCTTTTCAATTCCGTAGGTTGTTAAATTATATTAAAACACAAATTATGAATTACTTCACTAAATTGCCAGCATTTGTTTAGATCTAACTTGTGTCCCAGATTTGATGCTCAAAGATTCAGGCCTGTAAAACAGAGCTGTAAGTTTTAGCAATTAGAACACAGAACACTGAAAAAGAAACGTTATTCTCAAATACGTATTTTCTCCTGCAGACTGAAGCGGTCGGTCACTGCATTTCTCCAGCTAATGAAGTCCAGTATGGTATTTATAGTTCACTGCCATCGAAGCCCTACTAATAAATAGCAAGAAGTATTTGGAGAGCGCCTTACATAAAAAGGCTCTGGGTCCTGCTATATTGCAGACATCAGCTACATCATGTGACATGCGTATGTGTATCTTCGCTCTCAAGGAACGTACACTTCCAAAGGAAGGAGTACTTATTGACCCAATCACAGACAGCAGTCAGAAGCTTGGATTTCAAAACTGCTGAACAACCATTTTGTTACTTACATCACTGCAATTTGTGAATTCTGAAAAGCAAACGCGCACACCAAAAACTCTCACTTTTGGGAACTACTGGATTCTTACAGACTTAAAATGCTTTCAGCTACAATGCAGCATTATCATCAGCAAGGAAAGGTGTGCAACTTCAAGACACTGGTTTTAGTCTCTTTCTAAAGAATACTGCAATGACAGGTGGACCGAAAAATTTGAAATAAGGTTAGCTCCCCCCCACCCAATATGTCTCTTTCTGACTCCGTGTTTTTACCGTATTTATGTTTATTAGTACTAGTACAAACATGCTTATGTTTGAAACAACCTATTTAATGATATTTCCTACCTAAAAAGGTATCAGGAAGAACATCCCTCCTCTCTTCCCTCCAAAATAACTAGAAAATATAACCCAAACAGTCAATAATTCATTAGGTTAAAATTAGGAGAGAAGCTAATAACTAATGTAAAGAATGAGAAAAAACACAGGTGAAATATCTAGCAGTCCAATTATCTAGAACCTTGTTTTTAGAATAAAAGCTTTAACCACAAGAATCCTCTGAGGAATTTCTCAAGTAAAAATGTTTGTGTTCAAACACAGAACTCTTACAATAGGCTTCAAATTAGACATACAAATCAACATTAGCCTTTGCATTACATTGACAGACAATCTGTTTAAGAGTTCTCAGTTGAAAAATTTGCTAGTGTTTTTTCAGTCCCTCCCTCCTCTTTTTTTTTTTTTTTTTTTTTTAAAGCTCAAGAAATTCAACTTTGACTTTGGAAACTGGGTTCTTTCTTCTTCTCAGCTCCATCACTAAGGCTATAAATTTATGAGCATTACCTTTAGCAGTCTCAATTTCCTTATCACCTTGGCTGCTCATTCTAACCGTAATGACACAATAAACTCAGACCAAAGAAGATGGAATAAACTCTTATTTTTAACATAAGCCAATTTTGATAATATAGCTCAAGAAAGAGCAGGTATGGGCAT